GTATTCATTTGTTTTACCCATAAATGAGATTTGAAAAACAACCAGTGTGTCAATACCAAAATCAATTTGAAAAGGATCTACTAAGAAATTAGGTCCCTCAGATAAAATATGGTTTAAAAGAGGCAGTCACTTTGCCTTTCCTTCTTATGGGGATACTTTTCATTATAATGGAAAAGGATGGCATCTTTCAAACCATAAACTTAATATGTATCAGACTTTATGGATTTCAATATCAAAGGATTGACTTTCAATTGAAATGTATGGATTTTTTATTAGGAAAATAAATTATCTCACTAGAAAAGGATCAAAAAGCATATTGTGAAATCCTCTTATGTCACTTAAGGAAATTGTAAAAACTTGGATTTGAAATTGTGTTAGATTTAGTATACACACACAGAAAGCTACTCTGTAGCTATTAAACATAAAATAAAATAAACTTTTGCTGTTCTATTCTTCAGTTCAAATACATCATTATTTTGACTATGTTCTCTGTACATTTGGGTTGAAAGAGTGTTCATTATTGTTGAATTTCAGTATGATTGCCAATTAAATGATGTAAACTCAATAAAGTAAAGTACACAAAAGACCAATTAACGTGTTATCTCAGTACATATATAGAAGAATGAGAGAACATACTGTTCTACACAGTAGCATGCAATTTGGTGTATTCATCAATCAGAGCTGTATTGTAACTTGCTTAGGTGCCCAGGTGGCTTTTAGAAAGATTGATTAGCTACTCTTGCCCCCTTGAGATGTGAATTCATAGTCATTCCTGCAAAATTGAACAGAATAATTTCTCAAACTTCCCACAGTGTGTGGATACTTTGCAGCAAACAGCATGCCTGCGTTGTTTGTGAGGTGTTCATTCCCTTGTCCATTCCTGTTCCAGATGCGATCTATGATGTCATCACTGTGGGAGCCCCAGCGGCTCATTTTCAGGGATTTAAGAACGGTGGTCTTCGGAAGCTACTGCATAGATTTGAAACGGAAAGAAGAAAGTAAGTAATGATAAAATAAAAGTATGCGTTGTGATAGTGATCTGTGTCCCTTTGGGGAGAATCTGTGTTCAAGTTTAAGATAACGAAACTGGGTCCATCAAAACAAAGTTCTTGATATCTCATATTCATGCATAGGGCACAGGCATTTAGCCTCTGACCCTACTAGCGGTTTTCACCGAGGCCTATGGTGAGATGCAGAACTAACTGGCCCTGACTTAATTGTGCCGTTTGAAGAAGAGACATCAAAACAGAACTCTCAGGTGATGTAGTTAACTTAGATACATTTTTATTGCTTAGGGGAAAGGTACTGCACAAAACCCAAGCTATCATAGTTGTTACTTTAAATTTTATGAAACATATTTTTCATTCTGACTTTTTGGCTTCTGTCTTCTGTTGGGTTCTGTAAAGGAGCAAAACCAGTGAAGCACTGATACATGATATGAAGACAAAAACATAAATTCATCTCAAGAAAATGTATAATTCAGTTGTAGAAGTTACTAAGTCTCAAGTCCATGGGAAAGGCATCAATCAGGCTGGAGCATCTCCTGATTCATGTGGTTATGGGGTCTAATGGATCCACAACGAGCTGGTCAGTTGTCAGGGTCTTTGCTTATGTGGTAGAAAACATAATCAAACATAATCAAATGAGATAAAGGTACTTAATAGAGGAATTGAGCCATAATTTGTATCACCAGTCCTGCTAGTGATTTTTCTTATTGGTGGAAGGAATTAATTCTAAAGTCAGCCAATCAGATGACAAGCTTCTGGCTCACAAGGCTGAAAATGTTGGTGAATCCTAGGATCAGTAGGTCAAATGACAGGCTGCGAGTGCACATCTCAAGAAATGGAGGTAAGAAGATAACAAGTTGAATGCAGAATTCAACCGCAAGAGGGAGTTCTTCCAAAGTATCCAATTACAAGGGAAATTCAAAATGTTCTGGAATAATGGAATGGAAAGTTCATGGAATTTCTCTATGAATATTTTTGTAGGTCCCTCATATATTCTCAGATTAGATACAAGTCACGCCCTTCAGGGAGCCTTCCTTAACTCAGAGGAAAGAAGTGATTTGAGTAAGTGCAGGATTTAAGTAAAAGTATGACATCAGTAAGAGTGGCAATAAGAGTAAGCGTGTATCAAGAAGAAGGATGTGACTTGAGTTATGCTCCCTTGTAAGGTTCTGGAGATATTTCCTAAGTATTCATTGGATGCTGTTGGTTCAGAACTTTTCTATGCTTGCTGCCTTTCATCCAAGGACTCTGAAAATTACCCAAACAAACAGAAAGAACATGGTCCTAGAGTTTATTCCAACTTCTAATGAGAACAGCCCCATAGAGCTTCCAAGACTCTATCCCTTTACAGAAACAGAGCTAGAGTATTGAACTGCTGATGTGCTGGCTAGCAGCACTACATCACCTGGGCTTCTTCCCATACATTAGAAAGGTTGGGATATAGTGCTGTGTAGATCAGAGACCCAGCTCCACGGATTCCTTCTCATCAGTTGAGGAGGAAGAGTAATGGGTTGTTACTAAATGGAAGAAGGGAAAATAGATGGTACACTCTGTTCTACCCACAGGCTCCTTAGGTAAATGGTACTGGCTCATCAGTCAGAGTGGAGCAGTCACAGTTGCCCTGCCAGGAGAGGGGCACTATACATTTTCTTGGGAAGTAGGTGAAAGTGTGAATTCTAATGGGGTAGGGCTGTCTAATTATTGACAGGTGGGGATGGGTTCAATCCAGCTGTAGACCTTTTGGGAGAGAGATGTCATCTCTTTACTGAATCTGGGTAGAGTCAGAGACAGATATCTGGCCACAGTCTTCTACTGCAAATGAGATTTTCTTCCTCCTTGTAAAAGGGGTGGAAGTCATTGTTCTCCCCACTCATTTCCCCAAAGTGGTAGAATATTGCCTTCCACCCCCTCTTAATTTTATTCACTCAGAACCAGCAGGCTTGGGCCTATCAGTCCCCATTTCTAGTCGTATAGCTAGAGGCTTTTTTTTGGAACTACATTTTGTTTGCTTCTGTTGTGTTTTTATTTTTCTATGTTGTAGGGCAGCTTTCCTAGCACCCAGTTGGAAAAACATAGGAAGCAAGGGAGGAAGGCAAAAAACACTTTCATGTCAGAACTGAGTCCTGAGACCCCCTCACCAATTTGCCTTCTTTTCTACATATTTCAGAATCTTCTGGTAGATGACTTACATGTTGTGTTGAAAGCTTTCTTTGTGGGGCCAATAGCCACCCAAACAAACGCACTGCTGTCTAGGTGATTCCTATAGGAAAAAGTAGACCTGATTCATGGGTTTTTGAGACTTTAAAACTTTAAGGGAGTGTGTTAGGCAGAGTTGAGTACGGAAACAAAGTCATAGACACTCATAAGTGTTTAAGAAAGAGCTTTATATAAAAGAGCAATTGTATATTGAGAAACTATCCCAGCCCAGTCCAGATCAAGCCCATATGTCTGATATTAGCCCATATGTCTGATACCAATCTATAAATTCCTCTTCAGACTCATGCAACACATAACACATGCAATGAAAGATCACAGGCTAGTGGGTGGAAAGTCTTGTGGATCTAGCGGCAGTGGAAGCATTTCAGTGCTGGCAGGGGTCTCCAAGTGGCTCCTCCAGCTACTGGGCTCTATTGTAGCTCCAGGTGTGCTTGTCAGCAGAAAGAAGAAGCAGAGAGTCTGTCTGTATCTGGCCTCCAGTGAGCTATTTATCTCCATGGTGCCTCCATATGAGGTCATCAAGCTGTGACCTGATTGACAGACTAGATTCTACCCCTTCACAAGTTGACACCAGATTATGTAACTACCCCAAGGAGTAGACTGTCTCATCTTTCTCCTGTTTGTGATTGGCAGGAGTGGCAAAAATAGATCACATTTACTCATTTTTGTCTGGAATTGAGATTTTGACTTCATCTCTTGGTGTTATTGTTTTCCAATTAATTTTTAAAGTGCACAAAATAATTTGAATGCTCAAAACTGGTCACAGTACATTCAGAATCTAGTTAACTGTAAGGAGCATAGGTATATGAATCATGGAGCTTCGCCATATAATTTTATAAAATGCCATTATGTGCCACTGACAAAGACATTTGCTGTGTGGTTTAATCTCAAATAATATTTTATAAATTTTTAATTATCTTCCTGAATAGCTGGATTCATCACTTCTCAGGGGGATGTTTATATGCATATAAACACACAAACACACAGTGCATTCTGAGTAATTTAAAATAAAGTAGCAGAAAATTGTGTCCAATGCTTGTAAACACTGATTGTTTTAGGCTTTTTATCTGTGTTACGTATTCCATTGTTTTAATGATTAAGATACAATGACTATCTTAAAGTAGTTTTTAAAACTTGGTCTGGATCATAAAAAAAGTTCACATTGAATTGCGGCCTGGCAAATATGACCTGTTAGGATGTCTAAAGAGATATCATTTCTCTGCAAAAAATGCCGCTACTTTTTTGCAGACTTTTAAATCAAAAAGTAGTTCATTGGTCCATCATAGGCAACTTAGAAAAGTAAATATGATTACATGAAATGAGCCACTTACACTTGGGTGATAGCAAGCATTTACATTTTACAGTGCAGAAAAGCACATTCAATGAAGGAAATTGTCCTTTTTCTTCTGATACACCGATAAAAATGTAGTCATCCCTTTGAGGCCACTTGGTGAGAGAAGGACCACCACTTTTGTTCTTGATTAGTTTCATTTACTTTCTTCTCAGCTAGGCCAATAAAATATTGTCATTTGAGAACACATGTAATTTATGTGTCTGTTCTCTAGTGATCTAAGTTCTGAGGACTACATTGACCACATACTGAGAAGGGTTTTAGCATAAGAAAGCCTTCCTAATAGCTTTCCTATCATGTAATTCCGATCACTTAGCTATTTTATGGCATCTTTTTGAAAGCTACAAGATAATTAATTTGGAAGATTGATCTTTTTAAGGAACAACTATCTGAGTGCACTACTGTTTTACCCAGAACACCCCAAGGAGTTCACGCTCACCTGTTGTTCATTCAAAGCTGCAGTGATTGCACCCACAGCTCTCTACCTTCACGGTTCGCTCTCCTC